AATCTCCGCATTCCGCTACCTTGCGTTGGACCCGTACTGTTGTACCAGAACAGTCGCTTCCTCCCCTCTAGCTCAGCAGTTACTGAACATTCAAAATACTCACTCAAATCCTCCTTAGACTTTGGATGGATGTCGAAGGCATGGCGCATCCCAGAAGAAGATCTGTCGAGCATACAAATAACTAAGTCCTGCACATTAAACATCAGAATGTTACCAAAAATCTTAGAGCTGAGGAGGTCAAGGAAAATGATGACTTCAGCTTCAGTGAGGCTCCCCGAGCTAATCACAGAGTGGACACAGCCATTTGCTCCTTTTTCTGTCAAAGCAACACTAACTGGCAAACATTAAGAAACGTCAGGAATCGATAACTGGTAACAAACTGGAAAAGGGAGAACTGAACGGCCCGGTTCGGCCGCATCGGAGACCAATATGTACACGGATCAATGGAAGGGTATCAGGTCAGTCCAAACATTATACGGCCACTTCCCGGACCCGCCTTATTGTCCACACAAACAGCAGTGTTAACAAATGACCCATTTGAAACACGTGGCGCATCCGAAAGCGACCGATTAGGCTTGATTCCGCTAAATTCTTCCGCCCGGATGCGCCAAGTGTTTCAAATGCCACTCAGAACCTCAGTGACTTTTTTGAGTGCGAGTGCGAACCGGTGATCTGGTGTGTGGTGACCTACCGAGACCAGCTACTACGGAAATCAAGGTTTTTTTTTTGGAGAGGTTTTCAAGGGGGTCTAAGGGTTACATGTGAACGATCTTGAGGCGTGGGAAAATTGAAGAAGTGAACACTTCAGTCCTTTCGATCAAAGATTTCTTCCACGGGACACGTGCGCTATAGTGCTGTAGTGGCCCCACTTCACGCTAGCCGACCTTTGCCGCTCTGCATACATTACTTCCTGTAGATCATGTTATCCCTAATGTTTCCAGTTCACCAATGCCCTTTTTCCATTTTGCCCAAATCGAAGAGATACTACCACTTTGGGGCGTGGGTTTTCTACTGGAATGTCGACAGCTTCTGCTCGATTCCAGTAATATGTGAGAATATGTACTTTAATAGGAAATAAAAAAGGAATTTCGGATTTTTTTCATTTAGAACATGAATATTTGGGAGGATTATTCACAGGCCGGTCAAAGTCACATGTGGCTCATCAATGATTGTTGATAAGATGTTAACGATGTGAAAACCGGAGTAAGACAGACTTGTTGATCATGGCTATTCTTCGCTGTCTTACAGGAACCTCTATTTACGTCCGCAATGAATAAGTAAGTAAATAAACCTGGTTGATGGTACCCTCTGGTCTTAGCAGCTATTTCTGAACGCAGCAGGATTTTTATTTTTCCAAAAAGTTCTATCATTTTTGATCAATCCTGGAAAGAAGATATGAGACAAGAGAGAGGATAATTCTGAGTGGAGAAATCATCAAATTATTCAAATTATCTGTTTACTTATTTGTTGGCACCTAAATTTGAAGAAACAGCCAGAAGATAGCCAGTAATATCGTAAAGTGGCATGAGGCGCGAGGCGAGAGTGTGAAAAGGAAGAAGTGGTGCGTAAGGTACCACCCGAGAAAACAAAAGGGCTTCAGTGGAAGTGCGTGTTCGGAGTGCGACTCATCGCATGCTTTCATGAGTCAGACAGTCCGTGACTGACGGAGAATGTCATTGGAATGCATGCCGGCCCTTTACACTGAACCCCCTTTGCCATTTACTTTCAATACAATCCACAGAAAAGCTTAGGCGACCTAATCGAAGAAGGTACTGTAGGAAAAAACGTTTTGCCTTTTCATAGCTTTTTCTTGTAGTAAACGGGGCACGCCTTTGGAGATATTTGAGTAAATAATTAACAACGAAAAAATATAAATAAGTAAACAGTTTGCACCGAGAGGTGCAAAATTTCTCGAATTACTAAAACTAGGAAGTTGAAGGAAGTGATGCATGTTGTCTCAACCTTTGGAATGCGCCATAAACTCGGTTTCCATCCAAAAAACAGCATCTCGCCTACATATTAAACGATAAAAAAGTAAATGTAAAATATCAACAATCTACATAGCACTAAAACAAAACTAAAAAATTATGAAACTGTATAGGTATAGAAATATTTACAATCTACAAAAAAGGGAGTGCGGAAGATTGTATGATCCGAGGGACAGAAACAAACTTTTAAAGAATATTTTACTTTGAGAATTTCAGGGCCGAACTCGAGAAAGTTTGAAACTGTTAATACAGATACCATACTAAACAAGAAAAATTTATGGATCTCCGTTGCGTTTTTGTCGTCGACACTTCCAAATGTTCAACCCTACCGAAGTGTTACCAATACTTACCAATAAATCACTTAAAAGGCACTGCACTGCAAAGGCATTGTAATAATAATCAGAAATCTCCTTAATAGGAGCCGGTTTCGCGAGACAATTTCAATTGTATTCGATGAATACTTGCATTGCATTACAACTACTCATCGTTATAATCGATGGGACCATATACTTTGCAAAACTCGAAGATATTTCCAATAATTGGGAGGAATAGAAGGAACCTACTCCTAGTTTTGACTTGGGTTCGAGTCCTTTCCGAGGTCGAGGTTTGACTTGATGTTTTGTTGTCTGTTGTTATATCACCGCAGCACGCGATGCGGAAGTCCACGCACTGCTGGTAATTGTGGGCAAAACTTCTTTCTCGGGAGGGACTCGAACCCGTACTTATGCTTCTCGGGCTCCGACCTCTTTATTTCTTACATCCAGAACGCGAGGGCAAGCGGGCTTCCGGTAATGTAAAGGAAAAAAAGCACGGTGCCCGGAAAGCACGAGTACGAGTTCGAGTCCCGTCCAAGGCCGAAGTTTTGTCCGCAAGTCGCCACCCTTGTGGAACCCATTCTTTTTGAAACTTTAGACATCCGACTGCACTGAATCAGAAAAGATGACGTCACGGCGGTCATGCAAACAGCCCCAGCCCAATCGGAGATGAGAGAGGGGNGGGGCGTGTACGATGGTACGAGCACGCACTGAAAAGGCCCTAGGATCATCCCATAAGGGATACAGTGAAATGTGAGTCTCAAGGAAAACGACCGCCAGGAGTCCCAAGGAGGGGTAGCGAGCGGTGCGTGATCAGGAAGGACTTCGTCACAGCAAGAAGAACCGCGGAAGATGCCATAGATAGAAGGATGGAGACAGCTGACAGAAATAGTGGACCTTTCGAGGGCACGTGATAAACACGCTGGGAAGAAGAAAAAGGAGTCCATCCGATCGGTGGGTTAGGAAAGGGAGATGCTTCCTGTTTCTCGATTTTAGCAAGTGAAGTAGTAACGGTGGTAACGAACCCCTGACAAGTGCTAAAAACTTCCGGACAACTTTGCAATAACAGAGGTGCAGCTATTCAGAGCTTATGAGAAGTGAAAATTTCCTCATTTAACTTCCGTTTAGGGTTGTTAAGGCGCTGCAACAAGCAGAGCTTATTCAGGGGTTGCACGCAACCTTGAAGTTCAAGAGCTTTCAGGTTTTCTGGGAACGTCCAATTCCACTCTAAAGAGGTGGAATTACCGAACACTTAAACGAAATACTTCAGAACCCTTTTCTACTCTCTACCGATTTTCAATGGACAGAGGTTCAGCCCATCATTCACAACGATCCTACGGATAGTAATACCCCCTTCCCCTCCCCCTATCTGTGAGGAGGGAAATCCTGAACTGCGGTGCTGAGATGAATATACTTCATACCTCGCTGCTATGTTGAGCTCCAATTTTGCAACCCCTCTGGCCTGATTTTCTAAAAGACCGTATCCTGTTGTATGATATCTATGATCCTAAGACTTTCCAGAGGTAAGCAAACCAGCCCGTTTGGCCCTTCTGCTGGATGCATTTGCTTATCCTGCGATTCTGTTTGAGAGCCTCATGATCCCACTCAGGGAAAGTACGTGTGGAGTCGCTTCTAAATCCCAGGTGGAAGTTCTTTATACGGTGTACATAGGGCTGCCGTGCAACTGTGACAGTATGGTGTGCTTTAACAGTTGATTCATGTATTCGCCCAATGCCTTCCACATTTGAACAAGGAAGTGTCTTCCACCTGGGATTTAGAAACCACTCCCCACGTACTTTCCCTGAGTGGGATTATGAGAACACTGAACAGCAGAAGGGACAAACGGGCTGTTTTGCTTACCTCGACTTTCCAGCCTTTCTGAGCGGTCCTTCTTACTCCCCAACTGCAATGAAGAAGCTCCATCTCTCTTAACTTGTGGTTCTTCCTGATATGGAGGTTCTCAACACCTCAGTATCGAAGGCCTCTCCAGGATTGGGGGAATGAAACCTGTCCACAATTACATTGTGGGCATCGACGCGGCCAAGGAATCGAAGACCAGGTGGGCTGGAATCACATAACGCGATACTGCAGAGTCCGTTCGGTCAGGGCGATTACCGATTGGATTCCGCCAATAGAACTAGGGGAGGTCTTCAACCCGATAGTTAGAATTCCCTGCGAAAGCTATAGACAAAAGGTATGATCTGCTACGTGGTCCTCCAGCGAGGAGTAAACCGATGATCAAGGAAACACAGATGAGCAGATGATTATATTAACTGTTATTCAATAGCATGCATTTCACATCTGGTTTATGATTCATGCATATGGGTACTTCTTCATACGGTAATGATGAATTTTTGAATATCCTGGTTCGTTATATACCAGTACCTGATTATTTTTATCCTAAAAGTTCGTTATTATCTTAGGTCAAGGCGGTGGCACCAGAGGGGGAGGCTACCCACATATACGGTTCCGTATGCTTTCAAAACCAATACCCGCCCAGGTAAAGAAAGATATCTGCCCTTCTGGGACCGTCGAATCGGTATCGCAAGCAAAAGTCTGAGAATCACAACCATTTTCAAAACAGAGATGACCATTACGAATAATTTTAGGAATTTTATTTATTCAACTCTGATCCTCCGTTGACTGTCGGAAGGACGAAAGTTGAAGATGAAGCTGGAAGTCATGTAGAACACAAGGTTTACTCTTCACGAAGATTATCTTGCATCAACCTCCGAAGAGAACGAACCGTAAAGGCTTCAAATGTATGAAAAACAATAATCATAAAACTTACGTAGGCGTTGATGCGAAATGAGACACGTGTTCGATTTGGCAGTCTGAAGATGGCATCAGAATCCGATGCTGTGCCGTTTCCAGCGTCGTCTCTGCCGTTGACGTCGCCACATTGATTGTCGCCGTCATTCATGTGATTATTGCCGTAACGACGATCTGAAACAATGGAATTCTAATTCGAAAAAAAGGAGAACAAAGAGATTCAGAGAAAAAGCTCGCGTGCATGAATACAAGCAATCGATAGAATGAGTTGATTTTGTTGAAGAATTACGAAAACAACGCCAAATTTTTGAGCATTACTGCAATCGTGAGAGGTTTCACGTGATGTACGGAAGGAGCTGATTATCAGTGGAAATCACCGGGCGTTATCACTTGTAGACAGGAGTGCAGCTGTACCTTTTTTATCTTGAAATTATTTGGGAATAAGAAAAATGGTGGGTTCACATTTGAAAACAAAGTATGATCTGGCAACCGTGCGAGTCATGTGTTCCAAGAGCATGGACCCTATACTCAGGTGTGAATAAGTTTGAGGCTCCCATTCGTAACCAAGAAAGACCATGTGGTCCCTCAACCCACAGAATTTTGGTGTTGAGATCATGTAAGTTCCCTACCATCCTCACCGCTCATTTTCTGGATACCCTACCAAGACTCGCTTTGTATTCGATGCCCAACAAGATTGCACAAGCATCTGAATCACCATGAGGTCACACTGGTTTATTACAAGTTTTTAAAAAAAACAGTTTCAGATTAGTAGAAATAATATTAATGAAAGGAAGCAGGAACGGTATAGCCTAGGCAGAGCTTGATCCACCCCTGATCCACATCACTTTGAATTGCGCAGTTGTGGCACTGAGCACAGACTACCCCTTACCTTCCCGAGAATCATGAGAAAAATCCAAATTTCTCGGTGGCCCGTACGTCTCGGCAGCCGATCCAGTGCTGGGATTCTGCTCGCCAGGAGTCATAGGGTAGGGCGAGGGAGAACAAGGGATGGGGGTCAAAAGCGCCTTGAAATGGTCCACTACAAATAAATGAGACAATGGATCAGATCATCTAATGTTATAACCCCACCCCTGCTAGATGTAGTCATGCTGAAATGGGAGCTGTCGAGCAGTCGTTGTACCTGGGAGCTTGTAGAGGCTGGTTTAATTTGCCAGGCTTCTAGTGGATTACTGTGGAAATGAGTTTCGAGAAAACTGAAATCATGACCGGAAGGAAACGATACAGCAGGGAAAAAGCGGTTCCTGCACGAGCAGCCGGCGATAGACTGTTTGTCTAGTAACACGTAGCTGTCAAATTAGCGAAACATCATAAATCATTGACGGAAAATGAACGAAAGAATAAAATCAAATAAATGCAAATGAAACGGACAGAAAACGAAACGCTGCAAAATTCAATTGCATTCCATGGCATTGCGATGAATTTATGTTTGAGTAGGAGTAGATAATTTTGCAGCGTTTCGTTTTCTGTCCGATTAATTTGCATTTATACTACGAAATCTGGTTTCTATCCTTTGATTAGCTTATTTCTGATTTAAATACATAATATTTATAATATAATATTTTCAAATGTATTTAACTTTGCACAGAAACGCTGACATTTTGCTTTAAATATGCCACCCCTATCACACCTTGGGTTCAAAGTAGGAATTAGAATACACTTTCTGCTGTTAGTCAACCCCGTCTTTGGGATGCGCCTCGCATTCGACCTCCATTCAAGATCGCAGTGGTATATTGAATGAGTGGGTGGCCCATACAATGAGTTCCTGTGGCCAGCCGATTATGTGAGAGCAGCTATCATCAAAAATGTGCATGGCATTTTTGTTGATGTCATTGAAAATTCTAAATTCGATGTTTATCGTTTCCTTCATCCTGGGAATTCCAGCAGTCAATAAAATAGCTTTCAACTGGAAATGATGATGAGATTCACGAAGTGGGTAGAAGAAATCATTCAGCGAATCGTTGAATGGAGATATTTTCCATTTCATGGACGGAATTCTCACTTCCAAAATATTTAATGGATAACTAAATAAATAATAATAATAAATAGTCCTTCGAAGAAAGTGTGATTGGTAGAAATACCGATATAGACCTAATTTGATGCCCTCAAACTATGAGGAATCAAGATTAAGGTGAACTTGTATTCAGAGTAGGCAGAGATTGCCTCAGAGCAAGCAAGCACCGCTTAGTTTGGGGAAACTAAGAATGTTAACTGTCCTGTCTGGAGGAACCACTGGATCTATTTAGCACTGGACATGGTGAAAGGACAAATGAGTGACTTCTACATATACATGTCTCGCAGAACAAAACGAAACATCCAAAAAATATCTTCACCTAGAGGGTGCATGCATTGTGCATTGCAAGGAAATCCAGCAGGGTGCAAGAGCCTGGGCTTCATTTCTTAGTGAGACTTGGCTGGTTGACTCTGGCTCAGTTCAGCTAGCAGTGGTCCATTCTTGCCCATTAATCTCATAAAAATTGTGCATGTATAGGAGGATCAAAGAAAACCCATCAGGGTAGGATAACAGGTAAGGCAGTAAAAGTTACGACTGGCCTAAGGTAGTAACCCTTATGCGGTCCATAACCAGTAATGGGCCCCACTGAAATTATGGACAACAGAGAATGGCGCCCTGAATCTGAACGGGAACCAAAAAAATAGGCGCACCTACACCGAGCCCGAAGACAGCAAAGCGGCTGCGTAGGTACTACAAGAGGCAGTTTTCGAAGAAGTAATTTATATTATATTGTAATAGTAATGTAATATTGCTAAGGGAATGCCAAGCCAAAGAAAAGGCCAAGACAAACTTTAAAAATAAAAAAATGAAATGAAAATAAAAAGAAAATGAAAAGCAACACCCAACATGCACGAAAATGAACAGGAAGACGGCCAGCTAACACCATGGCTAGCTTGACCAAGCCAGTCTGCTAGTTTTCTAGCCAGGAAAGCTGTGGCATGAAGAGGGACCATTTTTATGTCACAGCTTTTACGAGCCTTCTGAAGACCTTTCTTAAGATTCTCTCTATACTACCTTGTTAAAGGAAGTAATAAAATAAAAGTCAACGCAGTTCTTCTCAGAAGTCGAAAACCATACCTTAGCCCGACACCTGTGAAATTAATTACAACGCAGCTATTCTGAAACTAAACCAATGAAGCGATTCTGAAGCAAAAGAATGAAGCCGTACAACTGTATGGAAACCGATAAAAAATGCAATCCGCACGAATTAGCACCGAAGCATCGGCGTTTTTTCTTCTCTGCCATCGTCATCAAACACCCACGGAACGGAAAGTTCGTATCGAATTGCACTTTGGGGGGTGATGAAGGCCGCACATAAAAAGAGCCAGGGCTCCACGTTAGCATCGACCAGGCAAAGCTGCCCCCAGAAAGCAGCCCAGGAGGCCGTGACGATGTAAGGACCGCCGTGTCATGCCCACATGGTCCAAGGGTTAGTTGTCGAAAATATCCAGCTTTTCGCCATTTATTTTTGTCATTCAAGCAAGCACTACAAGGATAAAAACGGTTGCACGTCGAAAGGCTCTTGTAGGCCATTGCAGGGGACAAACTAAGCGTAACGTAAGCAGTATGACCCGAATAGGTCTTATTGTTGAGACAGTTGGGCAAAATAGTCGAGAAATTCGCCAAAAATCCTTGCTAAGAACGAAGAAGAAGAGAGTAAGTACATCGGAATTCACTTTTAGTCTAGCATAGTTCGGCTTTATCTCTGACTTCGTTAACGGGTTTACTCGAACAGCAATCAATCGAGTTTTGTTCCTTTTATGGGAATCGGACACGTAGCGTACTCCTTAAAAAGTACTTAAGGGGTCTTGAAGTTCTCCCTCAAGACTGAAAACTAACCAGTGGCTCATTCCGGAAGAAATTTAAAAATGAAAGAGCTACTGGTTTCTGCCTAAAACATGATTCCGTTAGAGTTCCAATCAAATCGCAATCAATCAATAATTTGAGTTTGAATATCAACGATCGATAATTAATAATGCTACTCAAATAACAAATGAGAAACAGTACGAGTGTTTGGGGGCTTTACCAGCAGGAATTCAAGTCAGTCTATACTTAAGCACATATTTTTCATCATCAAGACGCTACCGCCTGCGGTGAACAATCCATACGAGGAACCGTAAAAAGGTAGAGCAGTGGAGCAAAAAAAAAAGCAGAAAAACAATAGTGGGACTTAATGGAATGTAAACAAATACAAAAAAACCTTGCAGCGAACTTTTTTTCGAAGTGGCCACGAACTGGGAGAAATTCAGTGAAGAAGAAGTAGAGCGGAGCTTATTTGCATGTTCGGATGGCTCTTCTGATCTGTGTTTACCGTACAGCTTAACCCTGCTACTATCTATGCTTTCAACCGCAATGCTAGCATGTTTTTGCCGATAATTTTGCGATGGTTAGGAAATTCTCCTTAGTATTTCTCTAAAATGAATAAAAAATGAATTTTACTTATAGACATATTTTACTACGTTTTTATTTCTCCGGAAGAGTAGGTCTTTGTGACAGTGGATAACACCCATCCCCCTCAAGTTCGTCTTGAGGAATTGAATCCTGGATCGATATCTGCCTAGGCCAACCAAGCCTTGTATCCCTCCAAGATCCGATTAATCAGTAACCAGGTAACCGTCGAACTGACATTTTCCTAAGAAAGCAAAACACAAACTTTTTGGCTCCTTTGTCTTTGCCTAGGCCAAATACGCATTCAATCGCTACAACAATTTTGAATGGAATCGAATGGATGGGCGAATCCCAAAACGATAATGACCATTGCGAACTTCACAATTGGCTTAAGAGCAAATAAAGCTATTCATGAGGAAATGAGTAAGAGAGATACCTCCAAGCACACGAGGAGAAATTGCACTGAGAGATCCAATTTGCATGAATTTGCCACTTAAGTCTAATGGAATGAAGCTGCCGTTCCTAGAGGTGCGAAGAGTTTACTGGAAAAGACCTCTCCTCATATTGCCTAGCACGGACGTTCGATAGCTCTGCCAATGTCGCCTTACGGACACTTCAGAGAAGCCAGGCTCGTAATTCCAAGTAGTAATTGCTTCTATGTACTATCGAGCCTTTACTAGTAAAAGCTCATTACTCGGCTTCTCTCAGAAACATTGGTAAAGATTCATTCGGTTGAATACTTCTCATGTTTTAATTCGCAGAATCAACAGTGTCTTGACGAATGCCTTCTTACCAATAGGAATTTCTTATTTATTTATTTACTTATTTATTTATATGAACGTAAACAAAACTCATGTGGAAAAAATCACCAGAAATGAAGCAGAAATGAGTTCATGAACTTAGACTTGTACAAGTCCAAGACTTCCATCTGTGCAGTGAAGAATTTCTTCGTTTTGCTGTTTTGTTTTTGTTTATTTATACAGGTTATTTTCGAGAGCATATGAATTCAACAATGAAAATGGAACGTATTTACGAAAGAGAGCCGATTTGTTGACATCAATCCTATTTTTAAAACTTTTCATACCAATTCCACCAAACTATTCACACAATAACCGGACATAAGTCTGAAGTGGGTTAGCGTGAGTGGCAAAATATGGCTACCAAAAACAAACAAGTAAATAAATGCGGTACGACTATGGATATGATCGGCAGAATTTCATCATACAATTGTTTCTTTATAATAGTTTTAACCAGATATCCCTATGCCGTCGCACAAGCTTGGCAAGTTGTGGACAAAATCCGGTTCCGGACGGGACTCGAACCCGTTGCTGTTTTCAGCACACGGATAGCCTTCTCGAAAGAGCTGTAATCCGGTAAAGGTGGAGTGGTGCAATGTCAAGTGGCATCGCTGATCAAAGCCATAGTCTGCACACACCCCGCCAAGACTCCGGGTTTAACAACCCTCCTGGGTCCTCAACTGGTGCCAAGTTCGTCTGCGAGGATGAAAAAGCTGACCTGCACATCGGCTTGCCACGGCTAGTCATCGTAAGGGCCGAATATGCA